CTAGGAATAGATTAGTTGATTTGGCAAATATCCAATCTATTAGTGGACTTTCAGTCAACTCAGAGGTTTGGAGATGTTCAGTTTAGTAAACTAGGGTTAGATTGTGTAGGTATGCAAGGGGGGGAAGGATTTAGAGCAGGGCTGGGCAATAATTTTTTGAAGTGGCCCTGGGCTGCACTGGAAGGGGCGGGGCCAAAATGCTTCCTGGCTTCCCCACCCACAGACCATGTTTGGTTTGGAAGTGGGGCAGCCCCTTTGCTCTCCTTCCCTCTAAGCACCCATGCCCCTGGCGGTGGATGGAGACTTCCCATGCTCCCCCACCCCCAAGCCAATCAGAGCCTGGGGATGGGGGAGCAAGCGAAGCCTCCTCCTGCCCAGCACAAGTGCATGGCGCTTTGAGCACTGTGTGCTGCTGGCAGGGCGGAGGAGGACACTTAGTGCACTTCCTCCACCCCCAGGCCTTAACTGGCTTGGGGGTGGGAGGAGTGTGTAAAGTTTCCTCTACCCTACCCCCGGCCTGCAAAGCACGCGTAGCGCTTAGAATTGCTGCGCGCTCTTGGCAGGGCGGGAGGAAGCTTCGCATGCTCCCCCACCCCTGGCTAATCAGGGCCTGCGGGCGGGGGAGCAGCAGGCCTCCACAGGCCGCATCAACCCCCTCGGCGGGTTAGATCCAGCCCGTGGAAGCTCTTTTGCCCACTGCTGTTTAGAGAGACACAAAGCTGGCTAGAACTGCAGCTATGATTGCACAATCACTTCTGAGCCCAGTTACCCCAAAGGTGAATGTGTGGTCCCCCCTCTGAATCAGGCAGCCCAGCTGACGTGGTGAGTGATAGAATGTGTTGCATTTCTTTAATTGGTATTAGCAACAGGATTGTGGCCTTTGAGTACCTTGGGAGTTCTGGAAGGCATTATGCAATGGTATTTGTACTCCTAAATAGAGCTGGTTGGGAATTTTTTGACAAAATATTTCATTAACTTTTTGACTGAACACACTGCTTTGTTCAAATTGAAACTTTTGTCAGGAAAATTTCTCTGGTACAAGAAGGAATTTCTTGTGCGGGGAGAGAGGGAAGGAAGGAAATAGGGATATAAAATCCCATTTAATTAGCTAACCATTTAAACGTTAAGTTTCCATACTGATTAAACGGGGGTGGCTGGGCTGGAATGCCCCTGTCCACAGCACTCCTGGTTAGCCTCACCCATTAACCATTCACATCCCTAGAAAGAACCAGAGCAAGGGTCTCCGACATACCAGGGCTGTTGGTTATTCTGGAGTGTGTGTCTCTTTCTTCATTCTTGTTTTTGTTCTACATTAGAATGAAAAGACACATTAAAATCTCAAAATTTTTAGCAAAATAAAATCCTCGTGTTCTGGCTGGCCCTACTCTAAATCTCGTAGGTGCTTCTGAAAATGATATCTGATGTCTATTGAAGTTCATGTCATAATGGTGCAGAATCCCTGTTCCCTCCAATATATACATTGGTTTCCACTCTCTTTTATACCTGTATTAAACAATATTGTTACATGCCAAATAAATCATAACACTACATGTGAGAGAAGGGTAAGTTGAAAAACCCTCTTTATTCTATTTACATGGGCCAGACAGTAATCCTATAAGTAAAATTGACCTAGACATGTTTTTTTAATTATCTTCCATGCACTATTCTTGCAGCTGGAAATTGGCAAGATTAGTAAGCTGTCTGAAAAGAATGTTGACTCCTTAGTAAATACTCATTCTCTTTTTTTTCTCTGCATTGTAAATACAGTATTAAATATTCTAACCATTTTTCTAAGGTATGTAAGGCATAGCTTTTCCTGGGTATGTCTACACAGCAGTGCTAAACTCGAAATAAGCTACACAACTTGAGCTTTGCTAATTGCGTAGCTTAAGTCGAAATAGCTTATTTCGACTTTTGGCACTGTCTACACAGCAGTTATTTTGAAATAGAGCCCTCTTTCCCCCGACTTCCCTTACTCCTCATACAATGAGGATTACAGAAGTCAGAGTAAGAAGCCCATTATTTTGAATTTATTTTGAAATAACGAGCTTGCTGTGTAGACGCGCACTGATGTTATTCCAAAATAACTGATGTTATTCCAAAATAACACTGCTGTGTAGACATAGCCTCTCTGATTGTGCACTCAAGGAAGTTCTGATTGCTGATACTTTACGTCCATTTGAGTCCTGTGGTGTTTGAAAACAAAATAATTAAGTTAAAATTAATTTTGAATCTAAATAGTGATTAGGTAGCTTCGTCTTGTACCTTTCCACCATTCCACACTTCAGAATTCACTTTTTTACGTTCTTCAGATATTGCACATATCTCAGGTTTACAACACAGAGAACACAAAATAGCTGAGGCTGGTTCTCACATAATATGAAGGGTACCTGATTTCATCAGGCTTTTTTTGTGTGGGTTTCTTTGTGTGTCTATTTGCCTTTCTTCCTGACACTCTAGCATCCATATTCTTTCTCTATTTTACAGTCCATCAGTCTTGTTTTCCTTCATAGTAATAGCCATTAGTAAAATGCTACCTTTCTAATCACAAAGGAGCTGGTCCTGTTGTTCTTACTAAAATATTAGTACACTTCATTGGCTACCTAATGTGCAAAGTAATGGAGAACCAGATCCATCATTATGGTTAAACATTTTAGATCAGTTAATCTGTTTTTGAACTGAAAGAGATAAGTGCATGAAAGCAAAGCATTTAATACTCATTTACTAATCCATCTCCTGCCAGCTGCAGGTGGATCTTGTTATTTTGCAGTTGCACTCAACTGTATTTGTGAGGAACATGCTTATAACATAGGCACTGAAGTTGACCTGGATATTGCATATGCCTTTTGAGTTGAAAGGCCCCTTAATGCCTCTAGAGAAAATTTATTTCTGATTAAATATAAGGATTCTTTTTATGAAATCCAGTGATTGCTTTGTGATATTTGCAGCATATGAGTAGTCAATTCACCGTGACTTCTTAATTTCCTTCTTCTTTTCTTTCTCTCTCATTTATCTAAAACACTTCTTAGTATTTTATATTCTTGTTACGTCTTTCTTGATCCATGTTTCAATCAACCTTGTATTCTCCTTGCGTTAGCTCTTACTCCTCTCTTTGCAAATTTAGACACATTGCAATTAGGTCTATTTTTCCCTGTTACTAATGAAATATGTAAAGTCCCAGCTACATATTTACTAATGAAATATGTAAAGTCCCAGCCCTGAAGCCTGTGGTGGGCAATTCAAAAAACAACAGTTATAGCCACAATCATTTTCTCTGTGACTTTGGGTTGTGGCTTCCTTACAGTTTTTCTGCATCTTGGCCCACTTGCATCTTGCTAATGCCTCCCAACAGAAGCTCCTATTCAGAGATGTTCTAAAATCCAGAATTCCCAGTGGTTACCTTTTCCTTTGCTTCCCATTTTCACTGTAACTGTACTGTGCAACTACCCCCTCCTGCTTTCCTTTCTCTGTTTCTGACTCTGAACCAAAGTCATATGTTCTATTTTTCTTGACAATTACTGTGGGTGGGGGACTGTTTTGTATGAAGAAGGTCAAGCATGTGTATTGTTTTGTTCAGAGTGAGATTCAATTGAGTCGGATGTATCGATTTGGCCAGGCAAATGGCTCAATGCCCATATTTAAATATCAGTGACTACAATTGGCTGAACATTTGTAATTTCAAGGGCAAGGGAAGATTTAGAGTTGATTCAAATCTATGTTTCCCTTTCTGTGTCAGCCCACCTTATCATGCATGCAGCTATGCTCCACAGGCTGTATGGTACTTGGAGTAGCAAATCCTGTGCAAGCAGTACGTAATCATTCTCACCTGGTGCTTTGATCTGAGCACAATAATCATGGTAATTTGAATGTGACATCAGAGTATTTTCGGTTAGCATGACATGTAACCTGCATACTGATATAATGATAGGCTTTCTGATTACAAATGATGTATTGTCCTGCCGAGGTCAGGCCTGCCAATGGGGGAGGGGAGAAGAGGGCAATGTCCTGGGGCCAGGTGATTCTAAAGGCAGCGGTGGCGGAACTGCTGACTGACTCAGAATTGCTGTGGGAGCCCTGGGCCGTGCACTCTGGTTGGCTTGGAGGGATGCTGGGGAGGGAGCATGCCTTCTGGGTGGTGCTGGGGCTGGCTCTCCCAGTTCTCCCCCCGTTCCGCCTGAAACCATGCCCCTTTCGGGAGTGTGGAATCACCCCCCACCAACATTGCAAGCAGCACGGCAAGCTCCTGGGCTCCCTATCCTAGGTATGTGGAAGCCAAAGTGTGCATATGTAACCCACACACCTAGTGTGGTTACTAAGCAATGCAGTGGCACCTCGACCACAGCAACAGTTAAGACCAAGAGACCTCTACAGCATAGGCTAGGAAGCAAATGGCTTTTAGTTCAGTGGGTAGAGTTCCTATACTCAACTCCTGAGGGCCCCGGTTCAAATCCAGCCAGTGGTGATCACACATGTTTGCATTGCTGCTGACATACTAGCTGACTGGTATTTAAATAAGTGAAACTGGTGATATTATATAGTATTATTTTGACAAATAACCTCTAATGCCTTGTTGGCAGCAGCACTGTCTTCTTCATAGCTTAGCCCTCCTGCCAAGTCACATTAAAGTTCTCCTCTTTTCTGGGGTACTGAGCAATAGAAATGGTACATAGACCACAGCAACAGTTAAGATCAAGAGACTTCTACAGCATGGGCTGGGAGCCAGCTGGCTTTTAACTCGGAGGGTAAAGGCTGCTATGCTCTGCTTCAGAGGTCCCAGGTTCAAATCTGCCTGTTGGTGGTTATACCTAGTTAATAGCATCTGGGACTTAGCAGAATTAGCTAAGGTTAGCATTCATATAGAGCTTGCTGCTGGTCCTGTATACCTGCATAAAAAAATCTCGATCAGTGTGTAATACATATTTATTGTCACGGTTTCTGCACTAGTATTGCCCCTCCATCGCCCACTCCAGGAATGGCTAGTCAGGTCTTAGATCTCCAGCAGATGTCTCTAGGCAGATGTCCTTCTGCCTGTCCCTCCTGACCACGGGTGTTGAAGCTACACAGCTCTCTGCCTTACACTGTTATCCCCATGAGGCCAGTCTGCCAGTGTGTTGCTGTGAGCAGGCTATTGCCAGCGGTTACACATTACCACACAACTCTTTCTAAACAGTCTCATTTAGGTTTAACCACTGGACCATCCTCCATTGTACACATTTGTTTTCAGTCAGTATATTTACAGTTGCTTTGACCAGTAACATACAGGATTATTTTTGTAGTTCAGCGTTGAAAAACCCCCACAGTACTTAGGGAGCTGAGTACATAGCGGAGACTTTAGCCACTACGGTTGCAGGTGTCTTTGCTGTGAACTTAAGAGTACAATCCAGGAAGACACTGAGTGCCCTCCAAGATCAGGAGCTAATTTAGTGAAGGGCTAATCGCTGACTGTTTCAACCATATCAGAGATTATTTTCTTTCAGAAGCTTGATCTTACCTCCTCCCTTTCTTTGAAGGCCACTCATAAGATTCTTCCCATCAGATCCCCTTCAGTCCTGATCTTCTTTTAATAAAGAACCATAGGGTTCAATGAGACTCTGGTCTCTAGAATGGTTCCACTTTAAATTCTTTCATTTCCTTTCACCTCCACCTGAGAAGCCCTAGTGGAGAGAACCTGGAAAAACAGACAGTTCTTCAGCATAGCCTGACAGTCAACAAACATTAGGCCAGGTTCTCTGCTCCAAGTCAGTGATACCAACAGAAAATGTGGCACTTGACTTCTAAAGGCATGCTTATTCTGCAATAAAAGACCTGGGGCATGGTCACGGCACAAAACCAATCATCCTAGTTCAGCTCCTTCCCCTTAAGCCAGTGGTCTCCAACCTTTTTAAACCCAAGATCACTTTTTAAATGGGGGTCTGAGGGCTCCAGCTGGGGTTCAGGCTCTGGAATGAAGCTAGGGATGAGTGGTTCAGGGTATAGGATGGGACACTGGGTTGGGTCAGAGAGTTGGGGTGCAAGAGGATGAGGGCTCCAAGTGGGGGTGCAGACTCTGGAATGGGGCCGGGATGAGGAATTTGGGGTGAGAATGGGGGATCCTGGTTTGGGGGGACTCGGGCTGGGACAGAAGGTTGGGAAATGGGTGGCGGCACAGCAAAGCTAACGCAGGCCTTCCGTCAACTCCCTGCTGTGGGGCCACCAGAGAAATTCAGTTTAAGGTAGGTCAACTCCAGCTATGCTATTCTTGTAGCTGGAGTTGCGTATCTTAAATCAAATGTCTCGAGTAGTGTAGGCCTGGCTACCACCTTAGCAAGCAAAAAAGATAGGACATCTGTAAACTGGACAGGACCTAAGCTAGTTGTCACTCCGGTCCTATAACTAGCCACTGTTTTTTATCCACGCATGTACTCGTTTCTGCTGATGCTATGGGGAGATAAATCTGTGACCAGTGTTCCTAGAAAGGATAGGCTCCTGTTTTGAAGATGATGTTCTCTATACTTACTGAGCTCATGCAAAGCTCAGGGAAGGCTAACACACTTACTTTTGTGCTCCTTTTTGTAGGCATTGAAATTTTCACCGAAGTGCTTTTATTCCTTTAAGCCCCATTGTTTTTCACTGCTAACTTGGCTTATGAAAGATAAAACAATGTAATCAGTAAAACTTTTTGATTTTATGGCACTCATGAGCTTATGTGAAGTCTTTGGAATTTGTTATTTTGATAACATTGTTATGCACTTCTTGCTGATAGAAGCATCAGAGTTAAGACTACCTCCAGCACTCAGTGAAAACTGGATTTGTTTTTCAAAGGGAGGGCAAAACTGATTATATACAGGGTCACCTGCCATAGCAGGAGGCAGGACTCAATCACCTCTAGCCCTGTCTTCCTAAGTGTGCATACACCTGGTTGTTTTCTAATAATTAGGGCATAATTAGGTTAAAAGACAATCTAATTTGTCTTTTTCAAAATAGATTGGTGTTAACTCATGTTGGGTATGTCTACACAGTAGGGCTAAAGTCAAATTAAGCTACACAACTTCAGCTATGTCAGTTGTGTACAGGGACGGCCCATGAGCATAGGCAGACTCAGCGGTCGCCTAGGGTGCCGCCGGCCCGGGGCGCCCGATGATGACGTCATGGCCGTTGACAGCCGTGCAGGCGGGGGCACCGATCAAGCCTTCCGCCTGGGGCACCAGCTGCCGCAGCCAGCCTTGGGCCGCTTCCGATTATGTAGCTTAAATAGAAATAGCTTAATTCGCTGTCTACAGAGCACAAAGTTGAAGGAAGAACACTCTTCCTCCAACTTGCATTACTCCTTATGAAATGAGGGTACGTCTACACTATCCTCCTAGTTTGAACGAGGAGGCTAATGAGGGTGACCGAAATTGCTAATGAAGCACGGGATTTAAATATCTTGAGCTTGATTAGCATATTCCTGGCCGGTCGCCATTTTGGAAACTGACTAGCCTGAAGTAACTGCCTGCGTCTACACATGGCAGAGAAGCGCAATTCCGAGATAAACCCTTTAGTTCGAATTAACAGTTAAATCTCATTCCAACAGTCATTCCATGAGGTTTAACTGTTAATTCGAACTAAGGGGTTTAATTTGGAATCGCGTAGGGGGCTAGTGTAGACGTACCCTGAGGGTTACGGGAGTCAGAGTAAGAAGTCCTCCAGCTCAGATTATTTTGAAATAAAAACTTGTAGTGTAGATGTGCACTAATGTAATGTTAGTTATTCTGAAATAACACGGCTGTGTAGATGTACCCGTTGATAGCTTCATTCCTCCTCTCATTCATACAAAAAATTAAACTCAGCAATGATGGACATCGTGGCACTCTGCAATAATTGTGTAACTATTTGGTTATATTTTTTTAAAATGCTACAGTAATGCGTGAAATTTCTGTGGGAGGGTTCCTCTCCACAAAGTCCCTCTAGTTGTTTGTTTGCTGTCTTGTTTGCTTGTTTTCACAAATAACAGCTGAAGTTGCCAAAGAGTGATCACTGAACTTTAGAAAACTTTCAGCAAACTTGGACTGATTTTCAAGACAGCTTGGGCCAATGTTTGTTTTCAACTGGAAACTATGCGAAAGTCTATGGTTTCCCATCATTTTGTTCCTAGACCATGAAAAATGTGGTAGTTCCCGCTGAATTTGGTTTGTTCAAACCTGAAACTCAGTGATAATGCTGGGGGTTCAAACCCCCGTGCAAAATGTAACTTCAAAGAGAGTTTCTCTCAAAGCCTTAAGAAACAAAACTGCTGAGATTTGCACAGCTCTGATGCTTAGCCACCACACACAGTTCTCATGAGGACATATTCATATACGGGAAACAGTGTTATATAAAGTTCAATAATGCAGAAAAGGTTTGTGGGTTTTTGTATTATATATCCAGTACAGAGAGGCATAGACAACTTTTTTTATTTCTCGGAGGGCAACATTTTGAGGTCTGACTCATGAGGTTTTTTGAAAACAGGAAGCTGGCAATACTGCCATAGTATGTTGAATAACTTCAGAGCAAGTTCACAGCTAAAGAGGGCAGTACTGGCCTGGCTACCCCTAATGGTGGTAGGGCCATCCTTAGCTCCCAGTCAGATGTGTGCTGACATTGAGGCAGCTCCTCTAGTCACATGGAGGGGCAGCTTCAGTAGTGGAGTCTCACAGCTTAAACTGCTATGATACTCAGTCCCTCTGTGGATTTTGTCATGTCACATAACACAGCATTTTCAGATTTGGGCACCTAAAATTTGGTATTTTAATCCAGAATTAAAGACTTCATACATCCAAGATGAAACTGTTGGCTTTTAAGTTCTTTGTGCCTCAGTTTCCATATTTGTGAAAGAGGACTATGATGAGGTAGTCTGGCTTCTTAAGGGTACTGGTGGCAAACAGTGTTCCCTCTAATTTTTCCATTCATGTGTGGAATAATGCTTATGTGCACCAAGCAGATTTGGATGTGCACTACCAGTAAAAATAAATGCTGCTAGCTGTGGGAGCTCTTGGCACTCTGATAACAGCTGGGCAATATTTGAATCTCCCATGGGTGGCCACCTAAGCACTCAGCTTACAGAGAAGTAGAGGGAACACTGGCTAATACTCAGGCCACACTTCACCTGATTTGGTCCTTTAAGATTTGAAAGGTCCAATATTTTGCGAGGGAGGAAGGAAGTAGGGAGGTTAAATTGTGGATAATTGTGTAAACATGTAGCCCCTGAACAACTCAGCTGTTACACGGTTGCACACACCCTCAGCCGGCTCCTCACTGCTGCCTCCTCAGTGTGTGGGGTGGGAACCTGTGTTTAGCCATGAATGTTAACCAGTAAGCCAAGCTGAGGATGAGCTGGGAGTACAGGACCCAATGGCCTCCTCCCACAGCGTAGACACAACCCACAACAAAATGCTGCCTGATGGATCTTCCTAGCTGAAGGATTAATTAAGAGAAAATGGGCCAGTTAAGGGTGAAACTGGCTTAGGCCCTACATTATAGCCCAGCTCCATGGAGGAAAGCTGAGGACTTTTGTCTGTGGAGAGAGAATTGCTGGAGTTACCCAGCTCCGGAAGGATGGTTGGGGCTACTGGCTAAAAAGAGAGACAGTGAATGTTCCTGGAGTAGAATGAGGGATTCTGGTTCAAAGAGACACGGGGGACTGGTTAACTCAGGACCTGGCTCTAGGGAGGAGAGCTGTGAATCTCCTGTTTTGAGGGAGAAAGACTCTGAAGCAGAATTCCAACTCTAGGAAGAGAGACATGTCTCCTGAACTGGGATGAAGAGCTGAGCTGGGCTTTTAGAGGGACCCAGAGATGTGTGACCCCGGGCAAACTAACAAAGTAAGTCACCCCCCCCCCTTGAAAAGTGAATAACTCAGACCCAGAATGGGGGTGTGGGTTTCTGAAGCAACCAAAGTCTAGTGGGTGAGGGTGGGGGAGTTCCTGAGTTCAGTGTGTCACCCAGGCTACAAGGAGTCTCATCTTTTAATAAGGACTAATGATAAACTTACCTGACTTCCAAAGGAGAAAGTTTATAATGGGTTTAATTAGGCCCCAGGCCTGTAATGTACCACATGTGCTGTGCCTCCATGGAGCCCAAATGCAGACTGTTGATTGCAGGATAGGGACAGAAGTGCTAAATCTTATCAGAATCCACATAAAACAATCTTCCTCCCAATTCTCCAGCAGCTGGGGTCTGTTTTTGCAGCTGGGAGCTAAGGCGCGCTTTAAGGCTACACTCCACCCTCCCAACACACACACACATATGTGAACTATTGTGACAATAATGGTAATTTATTATAGTAGTACACACAAAATAGTACGTGCTGTCCAAATGTAAGACACGGTCTCTAGCCAGAAGAAAGCCAAATCAAAGCCATTTAATAAATGAAGGCTGCAGAGATGGGATCAAAACATACAATCTCTTTTTGGGGTTTCCCCCAGTACGTATCAATGAACTTGCACTTCACTAATTTCTTGTCGGAGTTCTCACCTTTTTTGGTGAGAAGTGATGTGCAGTGGAGGATGCCTCTTGTGCCTAAGGGCTGACTCCAGCTCTGACTCTTGAAGAGCACTCTCACTCAAGTCCTGGACCTGGAGCCATCACTTCTGTTGGGATGGAATCACATGATTTTCCCATTCTCAGACTGGGCGTTTGGCTGCACCTCCAAGGGTACTAACTGTGATCACCTCAGCAAGCCTCCCTTAAATTCAGCTCTGTCTGTAATTCTCTTCTCTCCAGGAGCTTTGCCCAGAGGATCATAGTGACATACTGTTAAAACAAAGTATTACATTATTCAGAACCAAAGCATTTTAAGAGAAAAACTATTTTAAAACAATAAACACACTATATGCTTGCTGGCCCGCCCCAAGTCGTACCATTCCCTGGAAGCCCGGGGAAGGCTCCAACTGCTTTCAGATATGCTGGTAGGACCTGTGTTTCTGTCCTCCAGATCAGTTCCTCTAACCAGGAAGAACGCGCTCAGCATGCTCCCTCTCCAGAGATCCCTTTTAACTGTTTTTTCTCCCTCTGATCTCTAGACTTCTACCATAACAGCTGTGTAAATTCTGGTTTGAGCTCAGGAGCAGGCTGCTGTCTTGTATTTGCCTCGCAATGTTGCATATCATTCCCTGGTTATTTTCCATTAGTCCCCTATTAAGATAGACTATATGTTCTTGCAGAGATGCCCAATAACACAGCGAACAATAACTTCATTTTACTGTCCAGGTCACATACATTAGCCATAACATTATCAGTTTTATGTAGCCGCTCCATGTCTACCAGAAAGGAGCATTGAGGGAAGAAACTGAATGAATTTCTGGAGAACTGGTTGATCAGTTTAATGGCACTGGATGAATGAAGGAGTTGGGATTAGAGATGAGTGAGTAAACACTGGTAATTGAGCCAGAGAGTCATCTCATGACCCCTCCTCTGCACAGTTACCCAGTTGTTCATTCAGTGCAGACTTTTGTGTGAGCATTCTGTTCAAGAGTCAGTCAGTTAGGCTATGTCTAGATTGCAGGCTTCTTTCAGAAGAACCTTTTTTTGGAAGAGATCTTCCAAAAAAACTTCTTCCAAAAGAGAGCTTCCACACACACAAGCTCATTGAAAAAACGATCTGCTTTTTCCAAAGATAGCATCTACACTGAATGGACGCTATCTCGCATTTAAACTGTGATTGCTATGGATGGAATGGCCACCAGGGCACCTGTGCTTTTTCCTCTTTCTTCTTCTTTTGAAAGAACTCCCTCTTCCACATCCACAGATGCCTTTTTCTGAAAGAGCTCTTTTGGAAAAAAGCTTATTCTTCATAGAAAGAGGATTACCAATGACGGAAAAACCCCCCTGTTCTTTCTTTTTACTTTTGGAAGACTGTGACTGCAGTGTGGATGTAACTTAGGTTTTGTCAGAAAAACGGCCATTTTTCTGACAAAACTCTGTAGTGTAGACATACCCTTATTTAGTCTTTTGAGTGGTGGAAAGATAGGGCTTGAGTCAGTAAATATTTTCAGTGACAGGGAGTTGATGGCAACATAAGTTTCTGTCCAGGTAAAAATGCTAAAACTGGCCCTACCAGCAAGAACTCAGCTAAACTTTGGCTGTGGATGTTTGCCAAGCTCAAGGGTCATTGGGAGAGAGGAGGAGTTAGTTGTCTACTCTGGAAACTTCTAAGTGCAGCTGTGGTAGCACTGCTGCAGTAGTACTTTAACGCAGCATTGTGGTGATGGCAGGAGCGCTGGGAGAGAGATCTCCCAGGGTTCTATGTCAGTGTCTTTCAACCAGTGGTACAAGTGTCCGCAGGGATACTCGAGAGGAGTCGGGGGGGGGAGGGGAGGTACATCAACACAACTGAAATTTGGAGAAAACGGAATTTTTGTTTTAAGTTTTACAGTGCTTTATAATTTTTGTACTTTTTACACCCACAAATTTCATCACCCGCCTGGCTACAATGAAGTTGTTTAAACAAATGTGACACAATGGTAGAAAAAAAGTGTGTGTCTGAAAACTGTAGGTACTGGAGGTACTTATAATTTTTTTTTGAAAAAGGAGTACTTCATAAAAAAAAAGTTGCGAAACTCTGCTCCAGGTAAACCACTTCCACAGGGGAGTAGCTAACTGTACTGATAGCATGGCTCCGACCACTGTAGCCTGATTTATACTGGCTCTTTATAGTGCTGTAACTTGCTGTGCTGGGAGGGGTGTGTGTGTGTGTAGACATAGCCTCAGTCTCCACTTTTTTCCCTTTTGTCCTTTTGTACCTGCTGCAACCACTGTTTTAAAAATGGATTCCAGGTGAAAGTGGAGTTGTTTTCTTCCTGGACCCTCCTCCCTCTCTCCTTATGCATGAGAGGATAGCTGGATGCCCAGACCTGCACCAAGAAA